AAAGTGAAACACATAAGGAACTTTTCCTTTGTTAGCCAAAAAGGGAAAGATAAAATATATACTCAACAGTAATTTACTTCCTTAAGCAATACAAAAAGTTTTAGTGCCTATATAATGGTTTCTAAATACCATTCCCCAATAAAAAACAAAACAAACAAACAACAACAACAAAAAAAACAGGGCCCCTTGAAGAAATGGCTTATTTTAGAGCTGAGCAGGAAAAATATAAGAGGAACTGGGTGGGACCATCTTGTGCTAGAAAGTAAAGAAGTGTTAGAAAAAATTATGAGCGTATCAGCAAAAGGAACAAGAGTCAGCTTGAAGTGACTGCCACTGGCCAAATCTGGGACAATTTGAGCATTAAAATAAATAAAGAGGGTGAATTGGTAGAGCACAGGAGATATTTAGGGCAGAGAAATGCCTCTGTATGATGCTGTAATGGTAGATACATAACATTATGTTGCAGGTGGTTAGGCATGAGAGGGGCAGGAAAGGGCTCTTCCCCCACCCACCAGGAATGTCAGGTGACGGTTCAACAATCACATTGCCTCTCTAAAAATAATTCAGCACCCAGTGCCAAATTATCTCCTGATGGTCCACAGCTATTACATTAGAGTGTTAATTGAACGTAGGCGCCAGGGAGAAGCAAAAGAGCTTCCACTAGTATCTCCGGTATTTGGTGAGTGACCCTGTGCACGCACATTAAGAGACAAAATGGCGGAGTATGACCTTCCGGGGGCACTCCATCGGAAAAGGGAAGAAATCCTCCGATGGGCATGCGCACGACTTCCTAAACACAATGTATGTGTTCACCTCCCAAGCGTAAGAAGGGCACTTCGCATGCGGACAGCGCACCCTAAGGGAAGAATCGTGGGAAAGGGATGCAAAACCACAGAAGTGGGCCAGCCTGTCAGTCCTAGAATCACAGTTAAACACTGCACTTGTCCTTCAAGTTGCCCGCTTGGGTCTCTTCTAAGCGTCCTTTCCTTTCTTTCCTGTTCTAAAGTCTTTTTAAATAAACTTCCACTCCTGCTCTGAAACTCGCCTCAGTCTCTTTTTCTGCCTTTATGCCCCTCAGTTGAATTCGCTGTGCAGGTAACTGGGATGTCTTCTACCAGTAACAATTATACATTGTAAAAACCCATAGAATGTACAACACCAAGAGAGAACTCTTACGTAAACTCTGGACTTTAGTTAATAATAATGTATCAGTATAGTTTCATCAGCTGTAAGAAATGTACCACCCCAACGCAAAATGTTAACAACGGGAAACTGAAAGCAGGCTTGGGATGAAGGGGTATATAAGAACTCTCCACACTGTAAACCTAACACTCCTCTAAAAGTTGTATATTAATTTTAAAAATGTAAATCAAGATAGCAATGAACTATAACCAACGAAATAAGAATCTTTGAGTCTATACTAATAATAAATGGAGACCGGGCACGGTGGCTCAAGCCTGTAATCCCAGCACTTTGGGAGGCCAAGGCAGGCGGATCACCTGAGGTCAGGAGTTTGAGACCAGCCTGCCCAATACGGCGAAACCCCGTCTCTACTAAAAAATTAGCCAGGCATGTTGGCAGGCGCCTGTAATCCCAGCTACTCAAGAGGCTGAGGCAGGAGAAATGCTCGAACCCTGGAGGCAGAGGTTGCAGTGAGCCGAGATTGCACCACTGCCCTCCAGCCTGTGCGACGAGCAAAACTCCGTCTCAAAAAATAACAATAACAATAATAAATGGAGGTCAGGCGCAGTGGCTCACGCCTGTAATCCCAGCACTGTGAGAGGTCGAGGCGGGCGGATCACCTGAGTTCGGGAGTTCGAGACCACCCTAACCAACATGGAGAAACCCTGTCTCTACTAAAAATACACAATTAGCCTGGCGTGGTGGCGCATGCCCGTAATCCCAGCTACTCGGGAGGCTGAGGCAGGAGAATTGCTTGAACCCAGGAGGCAAAGGTTGAGGTGAGCTGAGATGGTGCCATTGCACTCCAGCCTGGGCAACAAGAGTGAAGCTCCATCTCAAAAAAATAAATAAATAAAAATAAAAATAAAATGGAAAGAAAGAAAAGCTCTTTCTTAAAATGTGTCAACTAATATTTGTAGTGAGAGGGTCACGGTTGAAAAGTTACCATTTCGTAACTGTCACAGGTAGGACAGTTCAAGCAAGGATGATTAATGGATGTTAATTCTAGAAGAAAAGTTTGATTAACAGCAGAATATTTGCAGGATCTCCTAGTGTCTTCCCACCAATTAGCTGCAGGAGGTAGGGTGGTGGGGGTTTATGGGGGGCAGAATAGTAACTATACAATGGGGACTATAATATTTTGATACATAACCAAAATTAACATTACAGATGAGGGACTAATAAACTTAATGTGCCTGTGAATGCACTGAGGACACCACACAATTTATGTAGAATTACAGCCCGGTACGCATAATCTGAACTTAATCAGGAGAAACCATCAGACAAGTGCAAATTGGAGAAGCATTCTATAAAATAGTTGGCCTGTGTTTTTCAAAAAAGAAAAACAAAAATCCCCAAATCAAAAAAATGTCCATGACATGAAAGACAATGGCCAGGGAATTACTCTGGATTAAAGAAAGCTAAAGAAGTTCAGGAAAATAAGTAACATACATATATGACTTTGTATGTGTATTTAAAGAGGGAGTGCAGATACGGCAAAATATTAATGATTTGCTGAATCCGGGCAAAGGGTATGTGGGAGTTATCTTACCATTTTTGCAACTTGTCTATAATTTGAAATTATTTCCAAGCAAAAAGTAAAAAGGGGGCTGGGTGTGGTGGCTCACTCCTGTAATCCCAGCACTTTGGGAGTCTGAGGTGGGCGGATTACTTGAGGCCAGGAGCTCAAGACCAGCCTGGCCAACATGGCAAAACCCCATCTCTACTAAAAATACAAAAATTAGCCAGGCGCTGTGGCCCACACCTGTAGTCCCAGCTGCTTGGGAGGCTAAGGCAGAAGAATCGCTTGAACTGGGGAGGCAGAGGTTGCAGGGAGCCGAGATCATGCCATTACACTTCAGCCTGGGCAACAGAGCAAGACTCCCTCTCCCCTCCCCGCCAAAAAAAAGTAAAAAAGAACATGCTGTATGGAAAAACTCTAATGGACCGTTTTAACTAGAATTAAGGAGAGAAAGGAGGTTCTGGGTTAAGGTTATAGAGCTAGCACCACAGGGGAAATTAATTCATGTCTTATCCTTAAGTTATTATAACAAGCTGAAACTAAAGTACACAAAGTGCTTACCACAGGGTGTCACAGCTGTGGCAAATTTTATTAAAGCACAATCCAATTTTATTAAAATACAATTCAATGTTCATAACAGGTTGTATTAAGATAGGGAAGACTACGAAAATTTTAGGAAAGGAAAGCAGGAAGAAAAGGAGGGGAGGAAATTGCCAATGTGTTTAAAAATCTAATGAAACGTTTCAGTCATTTTGAGCTCATTGTTCTAAATATAAAAATGCATCCTATTCCAACTGGTTTGCCAGAACTTTTGGGCAGCAGGAAATGGACATTTTAATTTAAACAGACAGAGTCGTTTGAAAGGCTTTTAAAATAACTATGATTTTGTAATCGCAACCAGGAATTTTTCCTCTTCCATTTGGCCTGTCTTCATGGGGTGCTTTTCCACCTTTGATGTTGTTAAAACGAAGTACTGACACACTCAGAATCAAACCCCCAAATCGATGAATCATAAAGTAATAATTCAAGGTTTTTAAAACGATACCTACAACTGGATAGATTGCCTAAAAATCATTATTCACTCAAACTGGGTTACTTTAATGATACGTAAATTATACCTCTTTAAAACAGGCATATTTCCCCTGGGCGTGGTGGCTCAAGTCTGCAATCCCAGCACTTTGGGAGGCGGAGGCGGACGGATCACTTGAGGTCAGGAGTTCCAGACCAGCCTGGGTAACACAGCGGAAACCCCATCTCTACTAAATACAAAAACTAGCCAGGCGTAATAGCGCACCGCTGTAATCTCAGCTACTCCGGAGGCTGAGGCAGGAGAATCGCTTGAACCGGGAAGGCAGAGGTTGCAGTGAGCCGAGATCGCGTCACTGCACTCCAGCCCGGGCGAGACAGCAAGACTCCGACTCAAAAAAAAAAAATGCAAAAAAAAAAAAAAAAAAAATTCCATTGTATTGTTCTTTACAAACATTCATTTAATTATGTAACCGCTAATTAATTGCTTGGTTGTTATAATAACCAATTATTTGATTATCTCATCATTTAAATTTTATTTTGCATATTTTCACAATGCACTTGCTCTATTACTGAGTAATTTAATTAAATAATCATTCGAACGGTGGGCTCGAATTGTTTACGGATAAAGCTCCACGACCAAAGCCTAGCGACCGCTGTTCTGGAGCCCCTCGGCCCAGGGCCCGTGGCGGTTCTCTCCAAGGGACCATCTCGCCCCTCAGCCAAGTCGCCCCGAAAACGAGTGCCTCTGCCCCGCTCTGGCTCTGCACACAGGAACAGTCTGGTCGCTCAGCCACTTCCTCCTTCCAGCCTCATCTGGTTCCCAGGCCGCTGGGGACTCCCAACGCCACTATCCAAGGCTCTAGGGTCGGCAAGCGCTCCGGGCGGAGAAGGGCAAGGACGAAGAGCGCACGGCCACGACCCGGACCCCACCCACGCCCTCCGACTGCAGACATGGGGAAGACACGCAGGAACTCCAAAGTCGCTGGGTCTGCGCACGTGTGTGCCGCGATCCTGTGAAGGTCAAGGCCTCCCGTGAGACGGGGTCTTCCTGGAATGCGATGGTGAACTGCTCCAGATCGGCCACTGGCCGGAAAGAGTTTGGAAGAAGACAAGGCAGGAGGCCTACCATTTCTGAGGCGCTCGTGCACAGGCGTGGTGCAACTAGAGGGGGCAATGGGAGCTTGCAGAGGAGGTGCTAGCTAGGAGGAAAGGCGCGTGCGCGGAGGAATGGCGCGTGCGCAGAGAGGCGGTGCGAGCCATGGGGAAAGGCGCGTGCGCAGAGGGGCGATGAGAGCTAGGAGGGGCAGCGCGTGCGCAGAGGGGCGGTGTGGCTTAGGAGAGGGCCATGGAAGCTAAGAGGAGTGTTGCGTTCGCGGAGATGTGACTGGTGGGACCTGCGGCGGCTCCCATATGATGGTCACCCTCCTGGGCGCGACGACCCTAGTGCTCGTCACCTTGGCGCCATGGGTGTTGTCCGCAGCCGCAGGTGAGAGGCCGGGAGGAGAGTCTCGGCGGAGGGTCGGAGGTAGGGTGCGCAGCTGGGCTACCCGGGCGGCGATGGTGTTGGGGGCGACAGACCCCCAACCCTCGATCCTCTTTGCCGCGGCAAAGATTAAACGCGACTTGGGCTCGAAAATCAATCGGAGAAAGTGGTGTTCTGGGTCCTCTGTCGCCGCTTGCCTGTGACGCGTGTACCGGTCCTTGGGCGCGCCCGGGTCCCCATCCCCGTGAAGTGGCAGTGCCAGAGCGTTGTGTCGAGTTTGCTTCTTTCCGGGAAAGTACTGCGGCTCAGCTGGCCTGTTTGATAATATACAAAACATTTCCCGAAATACATTTCCTCAATCTGGTAAAAACTAGGCGGCCAGTCCCACGGGGGAGTGAGCTAAGTGTGACCAGGATTTCTCTGCCCTCAGGATTCATACAGGCCAATAAGAAATGACAATCGGAGTGACTGAGGCATAATTCTCAGTCCTCGAGGTTTACTAATCCTGCTTCAGGGCGCATCCGGGAAAAACATGAGCCACAGACACATCTGTGACTGGTTTTCCAGAGGTTTTCAGGAGGTGGGGCAGTGAGGCAGTGAGGCGGATAGTTCTGTGACACTTCAGTTAGTGCCCAAGAAATCTGTATTTTAAGATACCATGAGTGTGTTGAAGAGAAAAAGAGAGTAAAGGGAGTCCGTTATGCAGATGCCTCTGAGTAGGTGGAATCCTGACTTCGTTTTGCACCTGAGAAGATAAGCTTGTAATTGACACTGTCAGTGTGGAAGGCCTGAATTAGTTTTTCAGGTTAACTTTGGAATGCCATTTGTTGAGAGGAGGGGTCCGTTCAGATGGTTGGGGGGCTTAGAATTTTATTTTTGGTTTACATAACTACCTACTTTTTCCCCAAAGAGATAATCATGTTCAAAACTCAATGAAATGTTTTCTCAATGAGATAGTAATGTTGCTCAGTCTTTCAGAAGTCATAAAAATATTCACACTTTTTAAACTAGTAAATGCAATTCTAGGACCCAGGACTAAGAAAACTGTCCAAAATATGGGAAGACGTTTTTATTTATACTTTTTTTTGTTTTGTTTTGAGAAGACAGCCTGTTGCCCAGGCTGGTGTGCAGAGGTGTGATCTCAGCTCACTGCAACCTCTGCCTCCCGGGTTCAGGTGATTCTCCTGCCTCAGCCTCTTGAGTAGCTGAAATTACAGGTGTACACCACCACATCTGGCTATTTTTTGTATTTTTAGTAGAGATGGGGTTTTGCCATGTTGGCCAGGCTGGTTTCGAACTCCTGACCTCAAACGATCCACTTCAGCCTCCCAAAGTGCTGGGATTACAGGCGTGAGCCACCGCACCCGGTCTATTTATACTTTAGACTTTAGTTTTAGGAACTAGACTTAGGTTGTAGACTTGAAGTTACAGTTGGCATCCCCTTGTTTATGGGAAACCAGCAAAGAATTGACTCACAATGATCTGTGGGGGTAGTCCTTCGCAGATGGCTGAGTCTTTTTATCTTTCCTTAGGGATTTGGCTGAAGCATTGTGCTAGTAACAGCCATTCATTTGGAAGAGGGTGTTGCAGTCACTTGGCCTCTGGGCTTAACTATCTTCCCTTTTGTGTAAGAAAGTTGGGAGAGGTCCTGAGATTTTTTTTTTTTTTCTTTTACAAAAATAGTAAAAGAAAAATACAAAGGCAGGGCGTCACCAGGCTAATTTGCTGAAATTCTTCATACTTACCTGGGATGCATGGGGAAATGGCAACTATTATAAGATTGATAAGAGACTGAGAGGTAATTTTGTAGTGAGGAGGGGTACCCAAAGAAAATCAGGGCTAGCATCCCAGTGCAGGAGTCCAGGTGGCCTGTGAGCCTGCGAGTGAGTTCAAAATACTTACCTGTTGTCTTAGGAAACCATATACCTGTGTGGTACATGATATACTATTTCTCAAACTTTTCCACAAATATGTAGTATATTTTTCCTAGGATGTGGGTACTAGGGTCCCGGTGCATCCCGTAGTAATTTCTTTGAAGTCTTTTGTTTATGAAAAATTTGCATTAAACTCATGTTTCGTTTGATGTGAAAAGAGCTTTCCCAGAATTTTCATATAAAATTGACATTCCAGGAGGGTATGCGTTAAGAAATTAATTTAAAATTAGGTTAGAGGACAGGTGGCAAGATATAATTTATAGGCATTTAGCATTTCTTAAGCTCTTAACTGTGTGCCAGACACTAATCTAAGTGTTTTAACAGTATAAACTCATTAAGCTTTCAGAGCCACACAGATACTGTTATCCTTATTTAACAGACAAGGAAACTGAGCAACTGAGAGATCAAGTGACTTGCCTGAGGCTGTATAGGCCAGTCCGTGGCTGAGTGGGGAAGTCAACCCTGGGTCTGGCCTAAGAGCCCTGGGGCTTAACCAGACTAGACTGTTTTCCTAAAGGCCAAACAATTTAAATTCCTGATTGTCCACTTATATGTTAAGGGCCTAATTATCAGTATCTTTCAGTTAACTGTGAGCCCAGAAATATCTGAGACAGGTCTCAAATCAACTTAGAAAATTTATTTTGCCAGGGTTAAGGATGCATCCATGACACAGCCTCAAGAGGTCCTGGCGGCATGTACCCAAGGCCCAGCTTGCTTTTATACATTTTAGGGAGACATAATATATCAATCAGTACATCGAAGATGTACATTTGATTGGTTCGATCTGGAAAGGCAGGACAAAAAGCAAGGCTCCTAGGTCATAGATAGATTTAAAGATTTTCTGATTGATAATTGCTTGAAAGAGTTATTATCTAAAAACCTGGAATCAATAGAAAGGAATGTCTGGGATGTCCCAAGGGGTTGTGGAGACCAAAATTTTATCATGCAGATCAAGCTTGTCCAACTCACAGCCCACTGGCTGCATGCAGCCTGTGACGGCTTTGAATCCATCCCAACACAAATTTGTAAAACTTTCTTAAAATATGAGGGGTTTTGTCTGTTTGTTTGTTTTCTTTTCCTTTTTTTTTTTTCTTTTTTCTTTTTTTTCTTTTTTTAGCTCATCAGATAGTGTATTTTATGTTTGGCCCAAGACAATTGTTCTTCCATTGTGGCCCAAGGAAGCCAAAAGAGTGAACACCCTTGATGCAGATGAGGCCTGCAGATAGCAGGCTTCAGAGAGAATAGATTGTAACTGTTTCTTGTGAAACTTAAAGTCTGTGTTGATGTTAATGGTGGTTGGCTTTTTCTGAATTCCAGAAGAGAGGAGGGTACAATGAGGCATAGCCAAACCTGCCTTCCCCATCTTGGCCTGAAGTAGTTTTTCAGGTTAATTTTGGAATGCCCTTGGTCAAGAGAAGGAGTCCATTCTGATGGTTAAGGGACTCAGAATTTTATTTTTGGTTTACACAACTACCTACTTTTTCCCCAAAGAAATAATCATGTTCAAAACAGAATGTTCAAAACTCAAGACCTTAAGTTTACAGCTCAAGCTGATCCTGAAAGTTAACTCAGTGAGATTATAATGTTGCTCATTCTTTCAGAAGTTGTATAAATATACCTTTTAGCCTAGTAAATGCAATTCTAGGACCCTAGATTAAGAAAACTATAAAAAATATGGGAAGACATTTACTTACATATTTGTACAGATACCTATATTTGGATTTATGTCAGACTTAAAAATATAGTACACCATTTTGGTCATCAAGATGAATGTGAAAAGTTGAAAGCAACCAAAATTATAAATACATTTATGTATATTAGATTAAATGTCCATTTATACATTTACATGTGGGGTAATAATTGTTAATATGCTAATATAAAACACATTAATATACTAGTAAATTAATATATTGTATGTTAGTGTTACATAACAATAATTTTATGAAAAAATTATTAAAAGGAGATTGCCAATACTAACAGAGCAAAATCTGTGAAAACTAAAATCCTGTTTAATAACTTTATTTCCAAGCCCCTGTCCATTTATCAGTCAGTTATTCGTTGGTCTTCCAAATGCCAGCATGCCTTCATGAAGTTACCCATGTAACTTCAGGGTCTCCTTCCTTTAGCAGTAAAGGATTTTTTTTCTCCCTGAGGAGATCGCTAGCTGTACCCTATAACATTTTCTATTCTTGTCTCAAGGCCCAAAATTACTAGAATTATAATATTCTGCCCAAGATATTGTAAATACTACAGATGCCATCAGATCTTTTGTTAAAGTCTGTAAACCCAGTTGCTACCCTTTGGCTGAATAGAATCTATAAATTCTAATAAATGGATGAGAAGCAAGTTAAGAATTCTAGAGTGGGATAAGGGGATGTGATGTATTCTATTCAGGGATGAAGTTTTAGAGACTCCAAGTATGAAACAGAAAATTGAGGATGGGGAGACCTGATGGATATCACCTTAAATTAAAAAAAAAAAAAAAATCAGAAAGTGTTTTCTCAGATGTCTACCCTTTTGACCCCATACTATAAGATCTAACTGGAAAGTGCAAGAAGCTGTCTCAATTAAGAAAGTTCTGTAAGGGAGCCCCTGTGGTAGAACAAGTCTACAATGAGATAACATTGCCCCAAGGCAGAAGTAAAAGAACTATTGTAGGAACCATAAATAAATTTAAAAGCTGGTCTTTTAAAAAACATATAGCTTATCAAAGTGAAAGGTCAGTCCTTTGTGATATTAAAGGAGTTCCTGGGAGCCCACCATTATGCTGGATACTCTGAAAAAATGCAAATCAACTATGAAACGATATAGATTCTGCCCTTAAGGAACTTGCAATCTAGTTTGAGATACGTGTTTAACATAAAGAAGCAGTTTTTACAAATACTTCTTTTGAGGATTCTGGAAAGATGGCAAGGTAGAAAGCACCAGGAATCTGTCTCCTCACCTAGACAAGAACTGTACTGGCAGAATCTGATGTAACTATTTTGGAACTCTGGAGTCTATTGAAGGCTTGCAACTTCCAGGGGGCAGGGCAGGCTTAGATGGTAAGTTGCAGTTAATTTTGGTCTG